TTCAAGACATTTTAAGAGGAGACAGCGAACTTCTCCCCTAAGATCAAGAATCTTTCTAGTTAACATATTTGACCACAATCTCATAATCTGCATTTCTTAATCCAAGTTTCAGTAAGTACTGAAGTACTCAGATTATATATTAATCATCTCAAATACAATATTACTATTGAGTACTCAGATTATATATTAATAATTATATATTCATAATCTCAAATACAAGTTTTATTTTACCTTAACAAACAAGAAGGGAAATGTGTTTGCAAGAATATCTGACACCAAATCACCACAAAGTCACTAAGCAGCAACCAAAAACATTGAGGCTGACAAAATGGATTTCTCAGTAACTGTTACAGCAGAGTTTGGTATGTAAAGAGCAGACCTCCTTTTTGTTAGACAAACAAGGTAATTACCACATACAAGAAGGTGCATTTACAACATCAAAAATTTGAAAAAAATATTTGCTTCAAAGTTCAGTCTTCCATAAAGTGCTCAAAAAATAAGCATATGCCTCACTAGTCCTTTAAAACCATTTTGAAGTAGCCCATCTGCCCTATTAGTGTGGAAAGTAGGTGCAGAGACATTACACCAAAATGTTTTACCAGCTCTACCTACAATACTGCTAAAGTTTATTATCTTAGACCCTATCAGACTACCAATGATTCATACATTTCTTCACTTTTGGATAGAACTGTCTACCTGTCCATACCCTCATGGAATCTCCAGACCTCTATAGCCAAGATGAAGCTAAGACTTGAATTTCAAGCCAAAGGTCCACTCCTGTGAAATGCTACATAGTCCAACCCAACACTTAAACCATTCACCTTTAACTAACAGAGAACTGCTACTTGATTATTGACCAGTTATTCCAATACATCATGCATGAAAAATAAATACTGAAATTAATTATTTTGGAAATGTGGCACACTGCATCAAGATGAATGGCTCACCTCAATATATCAAAGTAGTACCACCTGAAGTTCAGAGAAAAATCCACCCAAAAGGTTCCATGCAAAAACTTTCAAAATTATTTCCAAGACATTTCTATTTTTCTCCGTAAATTTAAGCTCATCAGAGCTTAAATCAGAGGCTAACTCAGAGAACTCATCTCCTTCCAAGAAGCTGCTACCTCTCATTTCTCAGTGCGAAGTCACAGATCGTTAGCTCATGTCACTCCACATCTTTCCTCACCTGTTTGTGTGTGAACACCACTGGGGAGAAAGATTTATACCCCAAAACCCTGGCATGCTTCTCTCAGAATGCCTTCAAAATTCATTTCTAATCAACCAAAAAATTCTAGAAGTTAACACGCAATCATCATAACTTAACGTTACCCCCTGACAGCATCACAGGGCTGTGGTTTGAGCCATGTGGATGCATTTACTATTAACTTCATAGTTTACACACACACACACGAAAAAAGCTATGAGTTCCTTGAGTTTATAATGACTGCTCCCAGAATAACTGCAAGCCTTATCACCCATATACACTGCCATCAAATACAGCATAACGCAGCTTCTTCCTGACAAATATATGTGGGCATGTATGCGCGACCTCAGGTGCATGTAAAAATGTAAGTCCTCTGCCAGCCAAAGTAACGCGGAAATAAAGAAATTAACGCGGCTGCTACAGAAATGAGGCGCAAGGGCCGAGCCCGAGCTGCTCCCGAAGGGAGTTTCAATCCCGACGGCTCAGCAGAGCTGGGGAA